CCCCGCGGTTCTGCGCGCTCCTCTCCTTTGTTCCGGGACCCGCCGGGCACTTCGCGGACTGCGGCCGGGCTGCCGGTCTCGAAGATTGCGGTTGTCTTCGCGCGGGACGCGTAGATCCCGGGGCGATCCCGAGGTCGGAGACGGGGGTGCTCCGCGAGGGCTCTGGTTGACCGCTGGACCCCCGGCTGTGCTCTGGGGAGCGGGGGGGAGGGCAGTAGGTGCCCTGCCCTCTCCCGGAGTGCCCTGAGGATTAGCTGGGATGGGGAATCACTGTGACCAAGATCCGAGGCCGGTACCCTGGAGTACGAGGGGGACCCCGTCGGACGCTGGCCTGGAGCTGTCTCGGGAGGAGGTGCTGATTATTTCCTTAGGGAAGTGAGGCTTAGAAGCCACTTACACTGGTTATTTCCTCAGGATGTTTACGTCATCTGTGTTTGGAGTTGTTCTTTAAAGAGAATACGATGGGGGTGGGGGGAGGTAGGTGGGGGATGGTGTCGAGTCCCTCTTGAAAGCCACCACCTACTGCGCCTGGAGGGAATCCCTGTATTTCTTGACCCGACTTAAGGATTCTGAGCCCTTAATTTAGGACTGAGGAGGGGAATGGTGGATGAGAAGGAAAGGGCGGTGGCCTGGCGGCCCCAAGTGAGACCCAGGGGAAAAGAACACCCGAGGCTGGATTGTAACCTCTGCGCTGTTTTTAGGAATTTGACAGCCTCCAGTTTGGGGGTCCCTGAGATTTCCTTTTTTGAGTAAACCTAGTGAAGGTTCCCAACTCAGCATAGGTCATAGGGAGATGGTATGAGGCCCCCGGCCCCTCCGTTTGCTTATGGTAGAGAGCTTGGCAGTGTGAGGTGTAAGGACCCCCACGCACACTCCGTTTGCTTATGGTAGAGAGCTTGGCAGTGGTCTTTCAGACCTGCCTTAACTCCTTCCCCCAGACCTTCTGTGATAGGATTGCAAGTGGGTTAATACTGCAGTCTGTTCACTTTAGAGGACTGGATTCTCAGGGCATTCCCTGAAGTCCCCAGACAACACTTAACCAAAGTGACATTTTATTGTCATTCTTTTCCCCTGCTGGATGGTGAGAGTGGGAACTGTGTTGCCTGTAGCTGCAAACGTTCAACGAAACTGTATGTCTTGATCCACATGGAGGATAAGCTGAATTTGACCCTGGAAATTCATGCAAGCCTCCCAATACTGCTGTCCCCATGGTGGTCCTGCAGCAGACCGAAACACGCCAATAAAACCTATGCAAAGGCCAGGATGGTGGGTGACAAGTGTCACAGGGTTATGACATCTGATAAAGGTGGATATAGACTGATGTCAGCTCCCTACCCACCTCTTAGGACCTCTTAGGATGCCCAGGGCGAGCAAGAAGCCACTCACCGTAAATTGCAAAGCATGGAGCAGATGTAGTGGCATCGCCCACCGAACTTGCTTTCTCTTCTCCTATCCAATTCTACTGGCTCATCAGTGTTTGGGGACACAGGAATGCTTCTATAAAAGTAACAGACCCCAGATTTCAATTCTCAGTGGCTTTAATAAGTCGAGACATTATGAAACTTAGGAATCCCAGTTCCGTTTTTAAATAGATAATACACCCTAACCCCAGAGTTTCTGTTTAGAATTTCCCAGGCTCCTGTAGGACCCTGAGCTTAACTACTTTTCCTGATACTTTCCCTAAGGATGTCTCAGTGTGGCCATACTATTTTTTCATTAGCATGAGAGAAAAGTTTACAAGTTTGATCTGGCAATAGAATAGAGAATTTCAGTTGTCATAAAATGAGAAAAGGTTGCATTTTCTCGCAAAACAAGTACAACTAACATAAGAAAACATTGTGAACATTGTGTTTGTTTCCAGGGGCCTCAGACTACAATATTTTGCATACATCTTGCTTAGTTCTACAAACTAAATAGCTGCCAAAAGACAGTAAAATTCTCAAGTGAAAGCATGCACACTTTTAACCAACTCGTTTACTATTGCACAGCAAAAGAACAGAGACTGTGATACAGAAATGAGCTAGGTAGCAGGAGAAGGAGGTATTTCCCTGGAGTCCTGGTCGTGTCCAAACTCAATCATGTGGCTGTCACGTGCCCAAAGCAAGGAGTCTGCCTGGTTTCCTGCGAACACTTCCCAGAGGAGATACCTGAATAGTCCTTGCAATGGCTGAGGTCTGAGAATTAACAGAGACTAGTACCCTGCACAGGGTGGAGCACCCAGTGGAAGCTAAAAATGCTCATTAAGCCAGACACAGTGGTGCACACCTGTAATCCCAGCCCTCATGAGGCAGAGGCTGGAAAATCACAGCAAATTTGAAGCCAGCCTGGGCTACAGAAGGAGTTCAAGTTCAAGGTCAGCCTGGACTGCACAGTGAGACCCTGTCTCAAAAATAAAATAAATTAAAAAGTTTTACATGAATGAGCGAGCCAAGCTGAAAAGCCACAAAGGTATAATTTTCTTAAGTATGTACGTGAATAACTCAGTCTCTAGGAAACAGTTCAAATGACTCCAGCCATAAGGACATGATTTTGAGTAACATTAATGATCTGTTGTGTACTTATGTACCAGGCAGTGTTTAATCCTCACAACAATGCCAAGGAAAGTACTTTTAGTTGGTTCCATTTTACAGATGCAGATAAATGAAGTCATTTGTCAGGCAGAGGCAGATGTAAGCTTCTAGCAGGTGATGCCTAAACTGAAGGGCCCCAGGAGGACCTAGTGATTTGCTTGCAGGGCTATGAGTCTTGGTAACATTTTCAAGAATGAGGTTTTCATCTTTTCTTAAGGAGAACCCCTGAGATAATATAAACTGCAAACCCAGCACATCTTAGCACTACTGTGTCCAAGGTCACACAGCTAGGAAGTGGCACGGGAGCCTGTGGTCCTTAACAAGCAGCTTCTCCTTCCTGTCTGAGCCCTTCACAGGAAGCAGAAATATTTCCTGCCATGCTTCTCACATAGGCTTAGAAGGCTCCCCTGTGTTGGGGGAATAAGAAACGTCTTTTTCGATGTTCTTCCATTGCCTTTGTATTGTTAATGTGTGTGTAACGTATAACGCGTGACACACTACTGTTTCTAAAGATATTTTAATAATATGGGAAATGCGCTCCTTATGCACATTGGCCACCCAACAAGGAATGAATGTGTGCATGCGTGTATGTTGCTAACTCACTAAGCATTAGAAACAGAATGAGTAGATAGAAATGTATCAGAATTTTAATAGTGATTATTCTTCAGATGAATCACAATTTGGTTGTCTTTTAACTTTTCTGGGTGTTTCAAGTTCTAAACATAGATCTCTACTCAATTTTTAAAAGTAATATGTGCTTAGTTTTAAACATTAAACAGTGCCAAAAGCTTAATAAAATAAAAAGCACTCTCTGCCTTATCTTTGCTGTAAATAGAAGCAAAAAAAATCTTAGTACATATTTATTTTATTGGAAATTTTTGGAATTATGGAAATTATTGGAAAGTTTTTGGAATTATGAATAGAAAGGGCAACAGTTCTATAAGTTTTAATAAATTAGCCTTTAAAATTTTAAACATCACTTGGATCCTAATCAGTGATAACCATTCAATAATAGCAGAAAGGAACACGTGAAAGAGAAAGTAATTTGAAAATCTCTCAGATACGTGAAAACTGGAGGAGACTGGTTCCTCGCTCATATTCTTCAGCAAGAAGGTAGTTTCTTCTTTCTGAGCAGAGATGAAATAGATCTGTGAAATTCTAACCATTTCTACAATTAAACTCTCTCTTTTCCAAAGTCATAGGTTGAACCCCTATCTATAAAGTGACAAAACCGGAGGCAATTAGAACCACAGTGTTACCAAGTGACCAGCACTGTGGTCCAACATCCTGTTCAACAGTGAGTGAACTGAAAGCCAGAATAGGAAATGGCCAAGCTGGGTGAGTGCCTATTGGTGTGGAGCTGGGGTGCACGGGACCAGAACCCCCAGTGTGATTGCCCTGCTCTTTGATTCCTTAAAGGACTTTGCTGTTGCCTCTGCTGAATGCCTCCTTTGCTCCATGGTTTGGCTCTGGGGTCAAACTAAATGAAAGAGGTTGCTAAGAGAATTGCTCCCCAGACGTAATGGACAGTAAGAAAGGGGTGATCTTGCAAGACACAAAGACAAGCAGCCTCCCACCTCTCTGCACTCTCCTTCCCTTGACCTTGCACACAGTGCCTCTGGGGGAAGGAAACTTCTCAGAGGACAGCATAAGCCAATTCAGGGGAACAGCAAACATCATACCAGTGCTGCTGGTGTCTATTGGGAGGACTTCCGTACTGCAGAAGTAAAAGGAAAGATGATGGAGTACTACTTTTCCATCAAGAAGGATACACAAGTCATTTCAGAGGAAAATGGATGCATCTTCAGACCATAAGTGAAATAAGTCAGACACCCAGGCTTAAATGTCACAAGGCTTCTCTTATATGAGAAACCCAAAGCATAAATCATTTAAAATAAAAGGTATACAGTGGAAACAGGGAGATAGAACTTTTGCAAATGGGAAGGGATCAAGAAATGGAGCAAGGAAATAGGGAAAGGAAAGGAGATGAAAACAGAAGATGTGTTATGTTTATG